GAACAACATATGCAAGACTATTAAAAAGGTCCTCGGTTTGCAATCGTGCAACTATCGTAAGACACACGAACATCAAAACAAACGTATGCGTTTATGTCTATTCATTTGCCCAGCCCCGCCCATTTTAGTGCCATAGCCTTACACACTAGCCTGGGTGCCATCCCCAGTAGTATATTCGCAAACTCTATAACTGGGTCTGGACTTGCACACATATGTAGCGTCTGGAGTCTAAATATTCGTTCAGATTTTGAACGAGCGCGCTGATTGGTCCTACTCGTCTAAGCCCTTTTTTGGGTGTGTACATATTAGGTAAGGGCCGAACGGCGACGTTAGCGTCCGTTCGAACGTCCGAACGCCTTATCATCAACATGTCCGACGGCGAACCGAACGCTAAAGCGCACATGATATATAGCCGTAGTCAGTCTTTCCGCGATAAATCATCAACATGGCTGACGCACAAGCCGCTCAGCTCACGGAGGTTGATGTTGACCTCGCAATCACGTCCGTTTTGGACGATTTAGACGGAATATCGTCGCTCAAAAATGAGCAAAAAGATGCATTGAATAATTTCGTTCGTGATGTTTTGGGCGTCCTACCGGTAAAAAAAAGAACGCACCGAGAAAAGGAATACTCGCGCGAAGATCTGTGTTTACAAAACAACAAACATCACTTGAATAATGCAGGCGCGCCATTGGCCGTCGCCTCTGAGGCTCAGCCAATCAAATGAAGCCCCGCTGATCGGGCTAGCTCATTACGTGACGTCATGACCAATCGTTTTATATGTGTGCAAGTCCAGACCCAGTTATAGAGTTTGCGAATATACTACTGGGGATGGTACCCAGGCTACTTACACACAGGAGCACTAGCATACATACATTACATGTAGTATACATACAGAACACATACCAAATATATAAAAGTTACAGTTTACAGTTTATTTATTTCACCAGCAGTTACACTCAAGTACATAGAAAAAGTACAGATACATATACAAAACCTCAAAGACTAAGCCACTATACGTATTCATATTATTTAGGATCTGACTAAAGATGACCGGACGTACCTTGACCCTCCGGCGGCCTTACACGTCAGCCCCTCCCGACACGGGCAGCGCCAGTACACCCGGTTCCCCGGGAACGGGTACGGCAAGACGTTACCGGACACATGACAGGCGTCACCTGCTCCACCCATCTCCTTACACACCTGGAGAAGAAAGAATATCTCAGTTGATTGTACAGAAAATGGCCAGGAAAGTCTGTAATGCATGTATTCATTATCACACATGGAAAGGGTATCGAAAGAGTGGATTTCAGGAGGACTCTACAAAAAATTTGATTTATCAATGTTGCGATTTCAGGGCAGCAAAACTGGAGATATTCTACATAAGGCAATCTTTGTGATATTGGCAATGCATTGACTGCATTTAGGCTTCTTTCATAATGACAACACAGATAGATTGTTAAGCTCACAATTTTTAGCCGGGGCCCGGATGTGCTGTTTGAATGAACGAAAAAAATGCATATCATGAATATGCACACATTCTGCCTATTATTATGATTATCTTAAACGGTTTGTGTGTTTTGCTGTCTTTTACAACATACTGTTGTTTGTTCCCATAAACTGCCCTACTGGGCCCCGGCTTGGAAATGTGACTCTAGCATAAGATCGGAAGGTTATAAATCGATCCACTCACACACCGGGATGGACCCTTGTCTGTTCTATAGCTGTATGTATTATATAGACATTTCTAACGTGCTTGAGTTGTGGCTTCCTCAAAACCATATGTACCACAGAGAGGCACCAGCCCTGCTAAATGGCCTTGTTCCGAAACATAAAGAGGTGCGGCGGGTGACACGCCAGTCAAAATCCCATCACGAAAACACTCTGGTTGTCCATGTCTCCCACACCGTCAATCATGAAATAACTGTTGTACCAACAACTGTTAAACTTTGATCTAAAATTTAAACTAAGATCAGGGACAGCTATAGATTTAAATGTGAAATCAATTCTTTCCTCAGCGAAAAACTCTGACAGCCTTCTGTCTAGGCAGTCCGGCTGCTAATGCTGAGTGAGAGCTGACATAGATTTAAAAAAACAAACTGGACAGTGGAGACTTACGCGTATGGCTGAGCCGGGGTTCCACTTGACACAACAGCCGCCTCCTCGCGCCGCGATACAGTCTTCATCAGAGGAGCACACCTACAGACACAAACATCGCCATTGTCATACTGTATGTTGCATTCAGAACCGTGTATTTTCCTGAACCTTGCCCAGGCACGGTTCTGGATAGTCTCCGCGTATCCAGAACCGCTCCTGGGACAAATCTACGCTCTTGGATGCGAAGATACTATCCGATACCGTTCCTGACCCTACACCTAACACATTCAACCATAGAAACAGATAGGCACGGTTCGGAATACGACCATATGGCATGGGTTCGGGATCCTCATTTCAGGACCAAGGACATCGCCTACAGACACACATAAACTTTATTCTGATCGAAACGTTGAGTATACATCTATTTTGATTGAAGGATTGACATAATAGGTAAAAACGCCGTCATTGTTGGCGGTTTTGTGGTTAAAGTTGTTGACTTAGAATGTGAAAGTTCTGGGTTCAATTCCCCATGTTGCGCCCTTAGGAAATGTACATCTATTTCCTGGGCGATGATATAGAACTCAATAACTGAGTAAAGATCGAATTCGACTACAAAACGTTCTTATCAACGAATACAAAAAGATAAGACTTCAGAACAACTTACCCCCGTGATAGCCATGCCAGCCTCGCATTGTAGAAAATCTAGAGACAAACCAAGAACGAAAATCATCGCCAGACACCAGCGGAGCATTCTGGACACGGCGCTTGGCAACAATCGACCGAACCTTTGCAAATTGGGCGCCTTGCCTGGACAAACGACACGAGCTAGCAGCCACGACTTCAGTCTTTGTGAGAAGTTGAAGAAATCTCGGCAGCTGCCGTATTTAAGACCAGATTTCCGCACGAGGGGGTCTCTCTTCTTTTTGAACTTCCACCCATCAATGAATTACGCCTGTACAGGTAATCCTGCAGTGGACGCGTCTGTCATTTCAACGCCTTTGGTCCGAACTAACTTTAAAGCTTCATCATTACATAAAGGTTACCACCTGCGATAGTTCGAGAAGAATACTTTATATGTATTATGTCTTATACTCGGCCGATTTCTGGAGTAAGTGTGGACCACGTAGGCTAAGTTTAAGATCTTAACATTTCTTTTATGTACAGAAGTAACTGCAAAGAGGCACACCTACGATATTTCGTACTGTTCAAAGTTTCAGGTATAGGAAACTGGAAGTCGTTGCGTCGAAACGTAAGCTTTGACGTGTTGGCAAAGATTATCTTTAACAATGTATTAAATGTGAAAGTCGGAAGAATTAAGCATCAATGAATTACCACAGACGCTGTACATTTAATTAATACCTGGGAGATTACCTACGACGGACGTCTTTTTCATTTCAACGCCTTTGGTCCGAACTAACTTCAAGCATCAACGTTACATAAAGGTTACCATCTACGATAGTTCGAGAAGAATACTTTATATGTATTACGTCTTTTCTTCTACTCGGCCGATTTTTGGAGTGAGTCTGGACCGCGTAGGCTAAGTTTAAGATCTTAACATTTCTTTTATATACAGAAGTAACTGCAAAGAGTACACACCTACGATGTTTCTCACTGTTCAAAGTTTCTGGTATAAGAAACTGGAAGTCGTTGCGTAGAAACTTAAGCTTTGACGTGTTGGTAAAGATTATCTGTAAAAAATGTATTAACTCTGAGATAGGAAGAATGACGTATCAATGAATTACGACTTTATCTCGGATAGATTTCCTAAGACGGACGTCTCTTTCATTTCAACGCCTTTTGTCTGAACTAACTTGAGTCATCAACGTTGCATAAGGGTTACTATCTTGATAGTTTGAGGAGAATACTGTCTTCTAGTTGGCCGACTGCGTCTGGACTGCGTAGGTGAGCTTTAAGTTCATTTATTCTATGTGCAGAAGTAAGCACGATGTTTCTACGTAACTGTTCAAAGGTTCACGTATAGAAAACTGGAAGTCGTTGCGTTGAAACTTAAGCTTAGGTTTGACGTGTTGGCAAAAGTTATCTTAGATTTATGGAAGCCGAAAGAATGACGTTACTGGTTTCCTTTTTTTATCAGAAACTCTTCTGTCTTTGACGATAGTGTGACGATGTATGGGCACAGGCTGCAAAACCGTCTACGTCACGTTTAACACAGGAAACGTGGGTTAGAATGTGGTTTCTTGGTCAGGGTCTGCTCTCATACGTTTGAGACCTTTCATAAAATCGTCATGAGATTGGAAACCGATGACATACTTTTCGTTCCCGCAAAATGCCCAATCGTGGCATAAGTGTGAACACTTTATTACTTTACTTTGATTGCTATACAATTTGGTAAGCGTGTAGATATCAACATTAAGAATAAAAAGTTTGACATTTGGTCTCCTTGCAGCTTTCTTTGGCACTGCAGCGGTAGCCTCCTGTGCAGATCTTGTAGATTTTATATCTTGGCGTCTATTCCTGGGGGACCATTGTTCTTTTTGCCACGCTTCTTGGTTCGTCGTGGGTTTGAAATAGAATAAGATAGATAAATAACATGCCAGGGGAGTTAGTCCACTAAAAAATAGTTTGCCACTCATTCAATGGACAAACTCCTCTGGTATCATCTCTTTACTTGGACAATTTCTACTATTCCCAACCACCTCTGGAGCCTGGTAGAGACTAGGCTATACATTGACTATTTGTAGGCCATCGTTAAAGTGGTACATTTACAATACCAGCAAAAACGGTACCGAATATCTGATATTGGAATTGATATGTAGTATACACTCCCTTGCGTGTTTTATAAAGTATTTATATTTCGTAAAGCATACATCTGATTGATGTTTAAAGGAAAAAAAAAACAGAAACGTATTTTCATTGTTGATTCAGTATCTTTATTTTCCGGCCCTTTTTTTATACATTTTTTGTGTATGCAGCAGTATACATTGGTACGCCTTTGCGTCACCTCTTTATCCCATATCATACATGTGATTATGAAGCGTTCCATACATACTTCATAACTTCATATTCCCTCCGATTATAATTTTATTATTATTCTCCAATACATTGCCTTACTGTCTCATGGTCATTTGCGTATTCTAATTTTTCTCACACTTTTTTAATTGATGTTAAACGTGTTGTACAATCATTTGCATTCGGAAGTCCGTGGTTCCTTGTGCTGTCCTGACGCTTGCGTGTCGAGTAGATATTTCTCCACTAGCGGCCAGCGCTTCCTCTCCGTGGGGACTGACCGCCGCTCGGCCGCGGTCTGGCACGTTCCACCACTGCAGAAAAAACAAGTGTCAGTTGTAAAGTACCATCTTCTTCTTTGGTGAATTCAAAACCTACCTGTATTATTGTTACGGCATTCATTGTACATACTTGGTACAGAGAGAGAGAGAGAGAGAGACAGAGAGAGGAAGAGGGAGAGAGAGAGCTCGAGAGAGAGCACAAAAACAACATTCCCTAACAATGTATGGTGTGGATCTGTCCTTGGTGCTGAACACCATCCAAAGATGCAGAGAGCGGAGAGAGAGAAATATACAGAGATAGATAAATGAATAAATAAATAAAGAACAAAAGAAAGAGAGTGAGAGAGGGAGAAAGAGAGAGAGAGAGAGAGAGAGCGGGATAGTGAGAGAGAGGGGGAGGGAGAGAGGGAGAGGGCATTTAAAATAACAATGCCTTTGAGTCATGTAACAATAAATGGTGTTCATCTGTCCTTGGTGCTGAACGCCATCCACAAAAATCTACAGGTTCATTCTTTGTAACGATGACAATTTCATAAGGCTAGGTCTACTTTTGGCAGTTTGTATAAATGCATAAGAAATGTGAATGTGTCCGTACTATATATACAACAAACGAATGCGGTATCAGTCAATAAAATGCGTATCCCTTTATCATCTTCGCAATAGCTATTTCCATTAGCCATTACACTCGTTTCTTGTCAAATCGTCATGAAAACGCTCCGTCGTAGGTGCATTAAGTTAAATGTTGTATGTAAATAATGTTGTAATTTTGATGTAGTGTATTTGTACTATTGTATTTTAACTCCAGGAAGATTAGCTACATACTTGATTTTGTACCAATGTCTTGTGTGTCGCTAATGGAGTTTAATAAAGCACATAAAGCACATAAAGCATCGTGCCGCCACTAGTTACCGTACCCTGACTCTCCGTCTGTCCGGGCGCACGTCAGCCCCTCCCCGCAGGGACATCGCCAGTACACCCGCTTCCCCGGGAACGGGTACGGCAGCAGGTTCCCCGACACGTGGCACTGGTCGTTCTCCTGACCCATGTCTTTACACACCTGCGGGGGCACAGACAATGTTTGCTTTTGTTTTACTACTTACCTTTAAGAATTTTGTTAGTGATTATTTGTATTGGTTATAAGTTGTATTTTAGATTTATGTATGTTTTTATCTGGACAGGGGGCCTTGAAAAGGCACCGCCTGTTCCCCTTATCCTGCCCTTTTTGCCAAGTTGAAATAAATAAATAGATAAATGTCACAGACAAAGACACAGACTCAATACTGTTTTAGTATGTATTTTGTATGTGGAGAGACAACTGGCAGAGGTGCAATTGTGCACCTGTTTTGTCTCTCCTCCGTGCTACTTGCTGTTGCATTGGAAAGTCGAATAAATAAATAAATAAATAAATGTAACGACGCGCCCAAGTTGAAATAAGCACCACTACTAAACAAGAAAAAAGTGCACAAACAGCAATGATAATCAAATAATCATACGTAGAGGATGACAAAAGATAGTGACTTCGATTTTTTTTTAAACTTCAAAATCTAGTAGGCAACCTCGAGACGACCAACTCCCAACCACAGGTGATCATGCTTACGACTAACTCCGAACCATGGTCTGACCAGGGTTTAGATGCCGTGGTTGGCCACATGTATATGTGACATGAAATAATGTAAACTTACAAACACTGCGGATCCTGGGTTCCATCTAACACAGCAGCCACCGCCGCGAGCTGAGATACAGTCTTCATCAGACGTACATGCCTGGGACAGCAGGGGGAAATATGAGGTTAAACATAGAGAAGCTGAAAATGATCCTGAACAAGTGAACAGTTAATGCTTAGGTCACAATTCCCACACGGGGCCCGGCCGGGCAGCTTTTGGGAACGAAAACTACGCTACAGAAGATAACAAAACACAGAAAAGTTCTTAATAGCAATCATGGGCTCTATTTCTGTATATTCTTGATATGAATAGTTAATTTTTCGTTCGTACAAACAGCCCGGCCGGGCCCCGGTTTGGAAATGTGACCTAAGCATAAGCTACATGTAGTCTTCCACTTGTTGTGACAGAGAAGACAGACCTTGTGTATAGTGTATGTTTCACTGTACCAATTCCCCTAGCTCGTTTTGATAAGTACAATGAACAGTGGACCATGGCTTAACGTCGTGTCCAAGGGACTGCGACCCTTTCCAGTAGCGTGAGCGACAACAGCCGGGATTCGAACTCATGACTTCTTGGCCAGAGACAGCGTCACTAACCACTAAAGCTAGGTGTTACTGGTTCACTGTGCACTGAAGGTAGATGCTACATGTACATGTGCACGGCAAACAATGCGGCCCTAATTCGGTGACAATGCGAAACGACTTCGTCTCTGGTCAAACAAGTGTCTGTGGCTCTTGACAAGAAATCACAGCGCGCTAAAACTAAGACAACATAAAAACTAACGAAGACTTCCTCAACTTACCCCAGTCACCGTGATCGCAGTCGTGCTTCCAGCGGAGTAAATACAGGCGAGCAGGAGCAAGAAAAAGTGGGAAAACATTTGTTAGCAGTTCTGGAAATTAAAAAAAAATTCTCCCAGCTCCCACCGATAAAGACCACCGTTCCAGCCAGAACAATCTCAACTGAGAAAATAACTCTGCTCTTGTTTATATACCGTAAGACTAATGAAAGGTCATGGTTTAAGCCGTTGGATTTGGACTCAACTGAGAAAAGTATTATTTAGTTAAGCCGTAACACCGGGTAGAACAGGCTTTGATGTCTCGGTGGACTCGTGAGACAAAAACGCCGCTCGATCTGTCTTAATCCACGTGACGCAGAGAAGGCAGTCCCGGCTGTGTTTTACGTCCAACACGTTAAGTATCCTGTATCCTGTACTGTGAGTCACTTACGAAACCCTCACAACTTTCTCCCTGCAGTCTCTGTCATTCCTGTAGTCTGGCTTTGCCGTTGTCAATCACCCATTACTTAAGGGTGAGGGCATTAGACGTGCTACAGGAGGATAAGGGCTAGTGTTTGCCCAAAAAGCTGCTGTCGCCTCCACCGATTTCCCTGCTTTGGTAACGCCGTGGATTCACGCTGTTTCAAAGAACCATGCAGACAGCTTGTTCTCAAAGCTCCTACAGGCTGTGAATTGTCTGCCATATTGTAGCTTTCCTGTCGATGGTTTGTCCTGTAACTGTTTGTTGGATGTGCACCTTGGGAATAAATCCAATCAACTTTATCTAAAATGGTGCGCTGCAATCAACTTTTCCTCCACTGTGACGTTTTTACTAAGTCTTCACTGAGTGATTTCAACATGGAAGTACGTAGCCTGTACCAGGCTTCGGGAAACGACTGGCCCTGAAAGAGTATAAATTGGCTAGATAGACAGTCAAGTAAAATGTAAGGGGAGCTGGTCCGCTAGAGAGTACAGGTTGGTAAAACGTCTTTACATAAGCACAAACTTTCTTAAGGCTTTGAATGTGTTACAGTGTCAAGTTTTTTTCCTGTATTTTGTTTCACTATACACATTCGTCCTAGAGAGGGCATAAATATGTACAGCTTTTGTGTCTTGGCCAAATAAGCAAAAACAGAGCAAAAACAATTAACCGAATTATAAGCTTACGTGATTATAGGTAAAAGCAAAAACGAAAGTGAATGAAAGAGGAAAGTGTGGAAAAGTTACTGCGGGTATTTCCAAGAAATGCGAGAGGGGGTGACTTTGACGCTGACTTTCAGACTGGCGTCCTGAAGCAAATTTAGACCACCTTTTCTTTGAGATTTTTCCTGATTTAGGAAGGGCCATGCTACATCCCTCACAAACTGTGGGAGGGAGAGTTAGAAAGGGAGACAAAGACAAAGAAATGTACTAGTCACGGAGGCTGCAGTTCTTAGAAACCGCGTAACAGTCTTTCAGTACACCAGACTGTCTTTAACGTTACGAAACTCTTACTGAGCTGGTATAAGCGCACCTTTCAACTTTTATTCCATTCCTGCTACTCTTCGCTCTTCCCCGCCCCCGGCCTCTTCAGCTGAAAGTCAACATTTCCGACTGAAGACACTTAACAGCTTGGGTACGGTTTAGCAGGTTCTTTTAATGTCGTCATAGAAAGGCGCCGTCGACATTTCGGGAACCTGTCATCGTAATGCCACAATGGTATCACTGACACGGGGCACGGCTGAGAGAGCTTTATAATGATGTTAACACGTAGTTTAATCAAATTGTATGTAATCCTAGGCCCGCCTACATACACAGCTGGTCCCCCCTGTGTGGCCTTCACTTTAACTATATCTCCTTAAAAGACTAAGACGCTTCAATATGCCTTAGAAGAAAGGCCTTATAAGAATTTACACTGGACATATCAGAAATCTTAGAATACACTGCGCCGGTATACTTTCGACGTATTTAAATGTTTCGTTGAGTACGGGAGACCCGGCAAACTGGACAACTGAACGGCACCCAGTCTGCACACCTTGCTTTGTCGTTGGTAAAAGTAGCCCCATGTACTATTTCTGAGGCCGTAGGGACAGTGGGTTGTTAATCCACTGTGTCTAGGGCACGGTGTTGAAAGGCAAAACCGACCCCTCTTTTTCCACTGTTTTTACCTCCCCAACCGAAGTCAGGTACCCATTTTACACCTGGATGGACTAAAGTGTCTTTCCCAGGGACACAACGTCTTTCAAGGAAAGTCAGGAATCGAACTCGCGTGACCGTTGGGTCTCGTGTCCGCTCGCGTAGCCACTCGACGCCCCAATTTGTCGTTGGGCTAAAGTTAAATCCTTATCCATAATCAATGGTATAAACCAACACAGATCAAGTTGACAATTGGGATACCGTCATCCTGCCGTTGGTAATGCTTCAATCATACCATTGATGTTAGGAGCACAGATATGAGAGCTTTCACGCGGGTTTATGACTCAATTAACCATAATCTAAAGGATCACTGCCTCGGGTATCCAGGAAGAGCGGGTCCACTGTCACACACACACACTAAAATTGTTGCCATGGAAACCGTTTGGTATAAGCCTTGCTGGACGCGCGGCAAAGCGATAGAAGACCTTTGTTCTGACCAATCCCATAATGGTAAAAAAATAAAGAATTGGTTCACTCAGAACGACAAAATTTCTCTAAAATTCAGGCTCAGTTACTGAGGAGTAAAAGTGGTCTGGTCAGTGAATTCAAGGACGTTTTACAGCAGAATGTCCTTGGTGAATTACAGTCTACGCTTCTATATCTAACAAAAAAAAAAATGTTTTGCTTGCAAGACCAAAGAGCGAGCCAATGAAAAAATTAAAAAAAAATTTTCTCTCCTAAGAAAACTCACTTTCATCACTATGACCTTTAGGTGGCTTACCTTTCCACCAAACTATGTCTGCTGATATGGTGGAGATCTCATGGCTTTAAACATGGCCCCTGTCACACACTAAGAACTTTCTCTCGACCACCAGCCAGCCAGCCAGCCAGCCAGCCAGCCAGCCAGCCAGCCAGCCAGCCAGCCAGCCAGCCAGCCAGCCAGCCAGCCAGCCAGCCAGCCAGCCAGCCAGCCAGCCAGCCAGCCAGCCAGCAAGCACACACACACACACACACACACACACACACACACACACACACACACACACACACACACACA